GAAGATACACCAAATATATATAGTTATAAGTATTAAATTTATATCAACTTTAAACGAGTACAGAAGGTCACGTGACTCCATCAAATTGACCGACCCCGTGTTGAAAGAGTTAATTACTTCACAAATTTTAGTATATAAAATACTGATCACATGAAGTATTATACTTGTTTTTGCATTCACATTTTTGTTTTGCTTCCATAACTCACATGTATTATAACATGTTAGCAGATGTTTATCTATTGTATATTCCCATACAAAAAAGGTTGTATATTTACTGGTTTGTGCAATCAAGTTTAAAGTCACCAGCTGAGATATTAAAAATTAAAGTGAAAATGTGAGCATGCAACAAATATTCATCACAGTTAATGAAAGTTATTAGCCACACAACTATCAAAAACAAAGTGATCAGAATTTTATTGTTCTTTCTGCACTGACATGATCTTTAGAGAACCATGATGCTGATTTGATTTTTTTTAAAGGCTCTCTTCCACTACTTTGGAAAGACACAATAAAAACCTATTTAATTCTAATCCTTATTTTATATGGTCTATGCTCAAGTACTTTTGAAATAGTTTTATTTCTTGACTTAAGACTTTATGGTGGCCTGTAAACTGATTATTAATTTCATATTAATTTTTTTTAAGCTTATTCATTATTTATAAATATTATAGTAAAAAAATTATACTTCCATCCCCTATAGTCCAGGTTTCAATAGGTATAAAAATTAGTCCACCCTGGTCTATACTAGGTAAAAGGTTGTATCACCCCAGTTTATACTAATGTTCTTCAGTATTAGGAAGACAGCACTTAATTAGTTTTAACTCCCAAGCTTATAAGATAGAACCAAACATAAAAGATCTACACTCCCATACTTTACTAACAAGAGATAATGTCTCATGATACATAACACTTAAGCTGTAAGACATGATCTGTTGATGTCACACCAACTACTGATCAAGAGATAATGTCTCATGATACATAACACTTAAGCTGAAAGACATGACCTGTTGATGTCACACCAACTACTGATCAAGAGTTTATGTCTAAATTATATTTCTTTATTGTTCTTTAATATGTTATTTTTGCAACATAATTATGATTTCTTACCTTAAGAAATGGAACCAGACAAGGTTGTGGTGATGAATTAAGCTCTGCTTGCAACTGTTGTGTGAAGTCTTCCGGTTGTACTTGTCCATTCTGTTGTCGAAGCAACAAAATATGGATTTACACATAAAAACTAATTACCGCTTTCTTCTTTCTAGTCCATTATTTCTATCCTTCAAACTTATACTTGAACATTTATAACATACAAACAGAAAATTTGAAAGTAAGTACAAAAAAAGTGGTACCAATGTTGAAGATATAAGATGCAAAAGGTTGGAGAATAATAAGATATTCAATCACTCGCAAACTAAGAAATCCCACAATTATTCATAGAACTAGTGTTCCATTAAATGCTTTAGAAAGAGAATCCACCAATCAAATATGAACTAAAAATTTACAAATTACATAGGGCAATAATATATTTGGGAGATGACATTCTGTTTGAGAAACACTGAAATCAGTGAACTTACAATTAAGCCCTGAATTAAATTCTTCACATTAGTTGCCACATGTTCTGGTTGGTCCTTAGCTAATTGAATCAAAGTAGATAGGAAGTTTTTACATTTCTTCTTCGCTGTGCTTGGAGACATCTGGAAAATATAATGGTACTTATAACTGATATCGATCCATTAACAACAAAATTTTACACATTTTTAGAGTCTAAAATGTTTTAAAACTTGCACTGTAATTACATACTTTGATACCTTTCCGAATTTTCTTGAAATTTTATCTATATTTCAAAATACATTAGGAACAAGAAAGCTCAGTGTTTTCTGTAATAATGGTTAATGTTCTTGATTTATGAATTCATATAAATCTTAAGAGTAGTATTTAATGTAACATAGATAATACTTATAATAAATAAATGTGCAAGCACAGAATGAGAAGTAAAAGATCAGTACTGAGTGAGGGGAACTTCATTATAAAGCATAACATACATTGAACTGATTAAATAATATACGAAAACAGCTGCTGCTAAGAACTATTCATAGACTGTACAACAAAATTATTTAGTGTAATGCTTAAGCTTTCTTACGAAAGACATTTTTTTAAGTTTTTTTTTTTTTATCTTTTCATGATGTAACTAATTCAAAGTTTTAAACAAGAGGGAATCCTTAATAGCTTGAAATTCTTTTAGGCAGGAGTATAGTAAATTAATCTATGAGACCTTTGCTTCCCTTTTTATTAGCTATACATTTTTGCATGCCAACAATACCAAGTATGGGGTGTGCTTATACCCAATTCGATTTTATTACTCGTCAAGATCTCTACCAGCCTACCCTCAATTTGAAATTCTTTTAGGCAGGATTAGAATAAATTAATCTATGAGACCTTTGCTTCCCTTTTTATTAGCTATACATTTTTGCATGCCAACAATACCAAGTATGGGGTGTGCTTATACCCAATTCGATTTTATTACTCGTCAAGATCTCTACCAGCCTACCCTCAATTTGAAATTCTTTTAGGCAGGATTAGAATAAATTAATCTATGAAACTTTGGGCGTGGTCAAATACATCAATCGAAAATGTTTGGTCTCCTGAGTCGAAAGCTGTAACTAGATCTCAAATCGGTCCAATATGACAAAGCTATGAGCTAAAAATTTGTACATTTAAAAACAAAACAAAATACTCAGAGCCATTCCATAAGCCACTCATCCATGGCTAAAAATATATCAGAACTGATAGAGAATTAAACAGAAAAGTATGATGGGATCAGAATCAAGGCCAAACTGCTAGGTATTCTTACAAAATAAACATTTTTAGGTCTTTTACAATAATTCCACTCACCACTAAATCAGTTCAATACATCACCTGATAAAGAATTACCTGAGAAGTGGTTGATGCTGCTTGCGTATTTATGTTGGACGTCTGAACAGTCAGTGGCTGAGTGATTGTTGGAATTGAAGTACTGACCACCATCTGGTTAAGAAATCAAGTAAACAGTTTAAAAGGTTTATAAAATTAATGTTTATAAAAAGTTTTAACAATAGTATGCACCAATTCTTTTTCCTCAGCATTTACTTTATAGCATTACAATGTACCTCTATAAAAATCCTTACATCTCAGGAAAGGAAATATGTGCCACTGACAAAAAAAATTAATTAAATTAGTATAATTTTCTTTTCTGCACACTTTTAATCAGCTAAACTTTATAGGTTGCTTTATAATAATCATATACCATAATTACTATCAATTGCTATTTCATATCCACAGACAGTAAAGACAATTAAACATCTTCGTCCATAACTCTTATCAACCACAAACTCTAAATTTCTGATAATAAAAAAGACAAAAACAGTTATAAACCAGTTTAATAAAACAAAACAACAGTAAATTAAGAATTTAAAATTCAAATACTGCAAATCTTTTCTTCCTCATACATGGTCACAAAGCAGTTCGATAACACAAAATATCAATTGATAAACAATTAAGTTAAGAATTTTGGCATCATTCACAGCATAACCTGCTAATACTATGGTCAATCAGAAATATCAAGTACTTACAGTTGTGGTATGCTGGGGTAAACAACTGACATTAGAGGTCGCTGTAGAATATTGCAACACTGTTTTAGTGACTGGAACTGTTGAGGTCTATATGGTTTAAAAACAATTTATGTTCAGTTTGCAAAAGCAATAAGCAAACACTACACATGAAGAAGTTAATGTAATAGCAAGGCACACTATATGAAGTGTTTCACTGGGGACTAACTTAGGGCTGAAACAGTTCATAAAAAAATAATTTAATGCTGAAGTGAAATATATTATTTTTCTACAGTTCCATATACATGCAACTGAAATTTTAGTTTTTAAAAATCTAACAAAATTTATTTTCCCACAAATACATAACATACCAAGTAGGAACACCAATCACATATTTACCCGAGCTAATGAAAGCTAATACTGCTCAAAAGTACACTTCTCTACTTGTTTTTTCTACTATGTTTCATATTAATTCAATACTGCTAGGTAAAGAAAGCATCAGTATTGGATTTAGCTAAACACTGATAAACACCCAATCATGATTAAAAGGTATAAAGATTACTGGAATAACTTACTTGTTTCAATGTGGCACCTGAAGAAGCAACAGGAATTGCTGCTGTGATATCCTGAGGTGTCAAGGTCCTTACTAGCTGGGTCCCAGGCTGTTTGGATAAGCCATCACTTAAAACAAGATCTGTCTAAACTTGTGTATCAGTAGTACTACATAGGACTAAACACATTCATTCTACTCGTAATGTTACTAAATAAAAACACCTATTTTTGATGAAAGTTATCCTTATTTCTTAGGTATATAAAAGTAGAAACATGATAAATGAACGAATTTCAATAAGGATACTTATCTCTCTCCAAATAAGTCTTAGTTAGCCCTAGAAGAACCAAGTCTATTGAATTTACTAATTTTAAATAGTCTAGAAAAAGACTGCTTGATGTATCAAAAGGCTTAAACAACACTGAAAATAAAATTTCAAAACTTTCATTTTGTTGAATCTTTAAGAAAGCACATCAAACAATTTTTAAAGTTCGATAATCCATCTTATTGAGACTGTTGAGTACAACAATCATATGTCATAGTCACTATTAATAATCTTAACCCTTTTATAACCAAAATATCAGATGAATGTGGCCAATATGATTTATGTAGGCCATTCTTAAGTATATCGCTCGGGTTATTAGATTGATATCTTATTGATCGACTGTGTCTGTATGTATTAAAAATTTTCAACTCTAATTCTCTTTTCATGCACCAAATTCTTTAACTGTTCTGTTTGATGTCATTTCCCAAACTTTTTTATTTAAACCTTTTCTAGTATTCTGAGGATCTGTTCTATGGGTTCTGAAGCCTTTGTTTCTCTCCATGTTGCTTTTGACTGGCTAAGAAATGTTTGGCCCCATACCCTATTGAATTTTGTTCAATTTGGGTAAAATATGTCCATTTTTCCCAATCTTAAACCAATTTTGGCACATTTCTTTCCATTTTGTTCTTTTTTTAACGTTATTTGGCAGAAGACCTTCACATATTGTTAATTCAGTTACTGAGAATTAGAAAAAAATTAGATACTTTTCTATTGACCTTCAGGAAGCAGAGTTATGGGGCTTAAGGGCTATAGGACAAGAATTGACCAAAATTTTTTTGAGTTAAATCTAAAAAATAATACCCAGGTGCACACCCTCAGAATCCCCTTGGTATGCAAGCAAAGTTTCAAGTCTCTAGGTTCTTTCCTCTTGGAGCTATGACAGTCACACATAAGCACAGGCTCTTTTATTATCATTGATACATGATATACTGCAAGGTATGCCAAATTTACAGATATGTAAAAAAGGCATGGATTAACAGTGTCTAATAGTACAAATAAATTAAATACAAGTATTATGTAACTTTTAAAAGTTATTTAAATGTAATGCTAAAGTAACACTTTCTTACAGTTCAAAAACCATCAACATTATAAAAATAAATGGATGTCTTTAAAGAAAGAAAACCAGTGATCACCTCTTCTCTTTTTTTTTTTTTAACTACCCACACAATTTAGAATTACCTATAAAACATACCTGTACATTCTGGAGTCGATAAGAAGGTGTTTTCGTTGCTGAGGTGACAGCTGAATTTGGAACAGGACCTGGTGCAAGATTAACTACTTGGAATTGACCATTTTCTGTCTTCACCAACAATGTCCCTCTCATGAAGGCTCCTGGTTGAAGTGTTATGGTGTTCTACAGAAGCAAAATTTAAAATAACTCTAAATATGAATATTTTATATATGCAACCACAGATATAGTACAACAATACCATAATAACTTGTTTTAAAAAATATTGCTTCACCATTCAAACATAACTAAACATTTGTTATATTTACACATTTAATATTTAATAATGTTTAACTATATCTTGCCAACCTATACACTACACGTGAACCAGTAAAATGTATTTGGAAGTTAGCTACGAAATTCACATATCATTATGACGTCTTATCTATATCACACACTCTCCTACTTATGTAGGAATATTAATTATTTCACTGAGACTCTGCTCCCTTTCTGTTCCATTGTTCTTACACAAAATAAGATTTGTTATTGTTTCATGGACCACATACATTTACTGTGATACAGAAAATACCAACTCTACACAATAGCTATTGAGCTAAAGACCTCAGATTAGGTCTTGTCTCAGAATACCTTTAAACAATATATTAAATCACCTCTTTCATGCTATAAAAATGTATCTAACATATTCAGCACTCAATACAGCCAGAACAAGATTGGTCAAGTCAACTGAAAAGGTATAATAACAAATATAAAGTTTTTCTGAGAAAAAAAAGTTGGATATTCATTTAGAAGACTTGGGTTGGTGTACATTTTGCTTCCTACACTTGATGTGGAACTTTGGTGCTTGCCATTTGCTTACTTCCTCATTGTAATTCCAGTTGCTTGCAGTATAGCACTGTTACCTTGCAGTCGGGTTCATGTGTGTGTATATATATATATATATATATATATATATATACTGTTCAAGGTACACTTGGTTCTAGCCACATTACAATGTATATACTAATTTGATTCTTCAGCACTGTCCTCCACCTCGTAATACCAAGGACAGGTAGTGGAACCTCATCTGTCCGGTTGGAGTTGAGGAGAGTCTTACTCCAATGTTTTCTGAGGCCTTTCTTTAATGGTTTGGTCCTCGATGCCTCCTGTTTCACAATACTTCACTTCTTACCACTTCTGATGTTTTTCTATTATTTGGTGTACCTAATCTTGAAAGTAAGGTGCACAAAATGTAATACAGAGGGAGCCAGCTGGTCCAGGAATGTGTCTCACAGTGGAGGATCATCACATGCATTATGCATGCTAAATGAGCAGCAAGAACTAAGAGGTATAAAGGCTAGTGAGTCAAGAGAGAATAAATTTATTTTCAATGCATTAGAGGGAAGATGAAGAATGGGAAAAGCTTTTGTGTGAGAGGAGGTGTGTATCGTATTGGAAATAATCAACTAGTCAAAACTAGTTTTTCCAAATATTCCTGTTATTAATTATTCTAGCTATCCACTATCTTAATAATCAGAATATTTTCATTATGATTCCTCATTAGTTCTGCTTAAACAAGTCACCACTCACAGAAATAAGCAACTAACTGAAATCAGAGTTTATAACTATTACAATATCTAAGAAATTGAAATACTGCCATTACTTCTCATTATTATTTTTCAAAAGTTCAGGTTTTTTTTCACTTTCAGGGTGGCGCTGCCTGGTGCTTTAACCCATGTGCACGGGTAGGGTCAAAATGCACGTGCCATGATTTTTTACAGAGCTACATTCAAAATTTTATTAAAGTATTTTACCATCAATGCATATCAATAAACTTGGCATCAAAACATATTTAATAAATCAATATTATATAAGACTTAATTTCATAATTCGAAAGGAAACTCACTAACAATAAAGACAGTACTTTCATTATTTGTAAAAAAAAAAGTTGTAATGATACTACATATCTTTGCTGTGATTAAAATCATTCAAATTGTGGAAATCAAAGTATTATAAGAAATATTGAAATCTAATAGCAATTTTGATATGTTTTTTAAATTATTATCTTTAATAGTGATGGCAAAATACGTTTTCATTTTTAATCATCAATTTACTTAATTTAAACAGAATCAGCTGGGGGATTACAGCTCAATTATAGAAACAAACAACATGGCAGCCACATGGTTGTCTCTAGTTAACGTTAGCATTTCATTCATCAAGTTGGAAATGTTCAGATTATTTTTTCTTTTTCTCCCAGTAACCATTAATGTCTATATAATATAGACACACTCACACAGATGTTCACATTTTCTTACACTGAAAATGTTTTTCCAAAAGGTACTTGTGTCCTCCCACCCAAAGCTCTCCCAACCTTGGTTTACCCTCTAAGCAGTTAAAAATTTTATTGCTAACAGTACACCAGTCTTTCATACCCCTTATTATTTGCACCATTTCAGAACATATGACAACCCTCCACCAATCATACTGTGCCATCTATACTAGTGCAGGTAGCTCCCTCTACTATTCTAGCACAATTCTCACTTTTGAGAATTGGCAGGTACAAACTAGAAATGTCAACATATCAGTGGATAAAATGGGTGGAAAGTGGATTGAGAAGAGGTAAGTACCTAATGGAAAAACATTTTCAATGTAAGAAAATGTTAACTTCTGAAATGGTAGTACCTCCATTCACCCAAAGCTAGAATCCCATATTGAAAAGGTGGAGGAGCCAGCAAAGGCATGACAGTATGCAATCAAGTGGAGAGCAACCGCCTTGAAAGAACAAGTGTGCCATAATAAGAAATGAAGGCACACCTGTGGGGTATAGCCCTACTTCTGGAACAGGTATGATATTCAGCCAGTAATGAACACAATAATACGTATAGGGCAGAATGTAATAGGCAGGCCTCAAGAAAGAGATCTACAGCACCATTCTTGAGAGAGGTGCTATAGGACTACGATGTGAAATAGCACAGCATGGACAAAAACTGAATATCTAGTGTGTAGTCAACAATGGGCCCAAGGGTAGAGTTGTAGGGCACATCTGAGCATGTCAAGCTGTCCAACCGGGCAAAACATGCAGTGGAAATGCCTTGTCTAGGATATTGTGAGCAATAAGTGATCCTCTCTGTCAAAAAAATAAAATAAAAATCCAGAGAAAGCACCTTAAATAAGTAGTTTGATGAAAAATTGTCAGGTAATTCAGAATCAGCCCATTGTCAACAGTTAGTACTTAATTCATCCACATATGTAGCAAGCATTAGCATGGGATACAGTGATAGTTAGTTATAGTAAGGTGTCTGATAGGTCAATATAAGTATACATGGCTAGGCCTAAAGTGCCATAAATTGTATACAAATAGGCCAAGTATGGTCTGGACAGAAGTGCCTTGGAATAAGTCGGATTATGCCAAATGCGGTCCATCTAGGCAAAAATATTCAATAGAAGCACCTTGCATATGTTTCTAGATCAACAAGTACAGTCCACCTGAGCAAAAAACAACCAGGGGAAACACCATGGGATACATCAGATTATGCCAAGTGTGGTCCGCTCGGGCAAAACCTAGTGGGAAGCACCTTGGATATCTAGGATTGGGCCAAGTGTAATCTGCCCGGGTAAAAACATCCAGGGGAAGTGCCTTAGGATATTATTATGTTAGCATAACTGAATAATAAAATTCAAGTGAAAATACCACTCCGGCATTATTTTCACAGCACTGTGAACACAATATTTTCCAAATTAGGAAAATTAGGTGAATTTCATATGTATCACCTTTACTTTGGTTTCTAACATTTTTGATAAGGGACTGTCTACTTGCACTGCAGACACAGTATAAGGAAAGCTGTTGTAAGCACTAATGTCACCACAGATTTTAAAATATCACTGACCCTTTTTGGACGGTGTTTCACCTTTGCAGTTCCTACAGAAATGCACATTTTATTGATGAAATTATATAATATGAAGGGGGGCCACTTCCATACTTACAATGAATTTATTATCCATGTTTGCATAAATTTGATCTTTAAAACAAAATAGACTCCATGAGCTAATCAATATAAAAATGTTATGCTAAGGAAGAATAAATTAGTTTTATACTGAGAAATTCTCCCCTTGGATATCAATGGCACCTAACTATATTCATCTTCATAGAAAATATTAAAACTAATACATACAAAAAACATGGTTTGCTACAGAAACTAGTTAAGTTTATGGACAAATACTGAAAGTGCTTGCATTCATTTAAGTGTTATATTTTATTACTGTTAATAAATCTAATTCAATATATATTAATGTGGTTACTTTTGCTTTATTTTGCATAATAGGTTTCCTTTTTAATACTTTCTTGCATTCACAAGATGCAAAGATTTACTTAGTTTAATCAATCTGATTTTATTAAACATACTGCATGTTAAATTCAACATTTTATATTGCTTTTAACACAACTGATTTCATAAAGTATCTACAGGACAACAGAGCTTAAGATTGCTTTTCTGACACCACAGTTGCAGGGACAGTAGTCTCAGCATTCTGATAAGCTTTAAACAATTTATTACATTTTAAATATTTTACATATTTCTATACTTTCTGACGTAGCTTAGTGAAACATTACTGAACAAACCTTTTTCCATTTGATTTCCATAATTCACATTTATAAAAATTATAAATGTTCATGTTTATTAATTAGGCTTACCATGAGTTACAGAAGCAAACTTTATTGTGTACAGAAAATGAAAGTCACAAATGACAAGATTTCACCGATTTTCTAAATACATCAGCAGTTTTATCTTTGAACAGCAATTTTTTCCATTAATTTAAATCTCGAGTTTTATGCATTTTAGTAAACCCCCATCCCCATTTGTAAACTTACAAAGTTACATGTACCTGACCAGCCACTTGGATTCCTTGTCCACCAGGTCGTGCAGTAATCATCTGTGGTGATGGTGCAAGACGAACAGGGTTACTGAGAACTACTCTAGGAGCCAGAGTTTTCTGACTCATAGCCCCAATACTTGGGCGGGCAGGAGTCACGTTGGCTAGTTGAACTCCAGGAAGAACTGTAGGATTGGTAACTGACTGATTAACAATAGTAACAGGTTGCTGAGACTGTAATGATATAGTCTTTGAAACAGTTTGTACAGGCACACCAAGAGAATTGTTTATGTGGATGACATTGCTTGTCAGGTTCTGTAGATGTGTGCTTCCACTCATCTGCTTTTGCACTGAACCATCTTTCAACTGTTTTTGATCTTGCTGTTCATTTACAATAGGTCTCACACCAGTTAAACTTGGTTTAGCTTCAGAAGTATTCTGTCGAGAAAGAGTTGTTGGGGTTCCTTGTGGCACACTACGAATAATAACATGAGGCTGTTGTGAAGCTAAACTTACTGGAAGATTTGCCAAGTTAAAAACTGCCCCAGCACTACTAGAACTAGCTGTCACATTACTATTTGATGATGAATTGCCTAAAACAGTGGTTCCAGTGATAACAGGCATCACTGGCTGGCCAGAATGACTCACAATGACATTTCCATTTAAGCTTAAACCAACATTTGTTCCAGATATACCTACACTCCCATTTGGAACAGCTGTTCCAGGTTTGGCTAAAGGTTGAATAGCACTAGCAGGTCTGACACAACTGGTAGTAACGCCATTTGTACTATTATTTATAGCTGAATTATACTCTGCTCCAATCTGATGAAGTGAATATACTGTTTTCATGCTGTTGTTCGATATTGCGATGGGACGTATTGTCCCTGGACCTGTAGAAACAGGTCTAATTGCAACAGTAGGTCCTGAACCAGCAGGTCTAACATTCACATTAATTCTTCCACCAGAAAGACACGTTGTGTCTTGCGGAGTTGTAACGTTAGATCTAGCGTTTGCGTTAGGCCTCGGAATCTGCAACTGACTAATATATCCACTTGCTGGTAAGCCTAAAGCACCAGTTAGGGTTACCATTACAGAGTTAGAGGATGCACCAGGTCCAGGAGAATTAATTGCTCTGACTGCAATCGAAGAATGATGTGCTATATTTGTATCATTAACATCTGCAGGATTGTTAATAGTTCTTGAGTCTGTCCTTGTCCTTTCATTTTCAAGACTATGTTGATTATGAGTCTGCTGATAAGTTGCTAACGTCAGACTTGAGGCAATGTCGGAGCCTGTCGACTCTGTGGTAGGCCTACCGGTGCTGGCTTTTTCACCATTCTGTAGTCGTTGTTGGACCCTTACGCTTGCACTGTTATGTGTATTATTAATATCGTTGTTGATTATCGGGCTTGCAAAAGTATCTCGACTAGGATTCTGAACACTAGAAGATGACAACTGAGATTCAAGCGATCCTACGAGAGCAGTCACGGCCGATTCATCGACCTCTGAGAGCAGCATATCATCCAACGTCTTTGCTGACTCCATTTTCGTGGTTGAAACACAACTACTGAACTGCGCACGCGTGGTACAATGGGTCATGTCGCTCGCAGTGGGCACGACCCACTTCAACTCCATTTTAACGTTGACTTTAATAGTGTTTACATTGATGTGTGTTTTGTGTAACAACAGACAGTCGCTCAAGAATTTCCTTAATCAACGGTTTAAACTTTGGTCTTCAAAAATTTGGATCTTTCGAGTAAATTCATCTTTTTCAATGTCATTGGTATACTTCTGATTTGATGGTAGCAGACAACCAGATACAGTTTCTTCCTACATACCAGTACCTAACTAGCACTGAGCAGGAAGGAGAGGTAGACACGTAGTAGGATTCCGACGTGACAGACAACGAACCCATTTTGTAGCTGTGCTTTATGTGTTTATTTCAAAAATATTTGATAATATCTTAAAACATTTTTCAAATATATATATGTATGATGTAAAATCTAACGGCTAAAATAATTATATAAATTTGAAGTTAACATAAAATTTAATTATGTATTTGTATAATATGATGTGAATGTGGTTGTGTGTCAGTGTTTGTTATTATAGAGGATAAAAATGTTACATTCATCGATTATTTCTCCCAAATATAAACGCAGGTCAAGTAGTCTATTGTGTAACTTTTTGCTTAACAACGAACAAACAAACAAACTGTTTTAGATTCCCTAGATTGATTTTGCCATCAAGTTCTTGTTTTATTATAATTGTCTGAACAAACTTGTAGTGTTCAAAACACTTATAACTAGCTATACGGCAGATTAAAAAAGAAACACTTCATATTTTAGTGGGAAAACAACCATATTTTTTTCTTCGTACATTTAGTTGTAGCTGGGTTTTGCTAGCTTATATATATATATATATATATATAGTAATAAT